AGACCAAATCCCACTCGCTTCTAGCACTGATGATGTTACCTAGTTGGGTAATGAAATATCTGCAAGAAAACAACCAAGCTCAGAGAGCGCCAAGGACCCCACAAAAATTGTAAACAGAAAGAATCAAACACAATATGAAAATAACTTTTTCTTCAATCTATTTCCCTCCACATCAACTGTGCTCTAAATAAGGCTGGGCATATATTGATATGGGGCAGGGGTGGGTTCTACTTACCTTTACTACTGGTTCACAGCATGGCCGAGTGCTCTTCTGCGCATGCGCAGAAGCGTTTTGATGATGTCGGGGTCGATGGGCGGAGCCTCCTGCCGGTTTTACTACTGGTTCTATAGAACCTGTGCGAACCGGGGGCAACCCACCATTGATATGGGGTTATAGGTAGTTCTCAAGTTACGACCACAATTGAACCAAAAATTTTGGTTAAGTGAGACATTTGTTAAATGAGTTTTGCTCCATTTTACAGATCTTTGTTGCCACAGTTGTTAAGTGAATCACTGCCGTTGATTACTCAGTAACACGGTTGTTATGTGAATCTGGCTTCCCTATTGATTTTTCTTGTCAAAAGGTCACAAAAGGGGATCACGTGACTGTGGAAACAGCAACGGTCATAAGTATGAACCAGTTGCCGAGCATTTGAATTTTGATCACACATGATCATGGGGCTGCTACAAAGGTCATAAAGTGTGAAAAATGGTCATAAATCACTTTTGCCGTTGTAATTTTGAATGGTCACTAAATGAACCTTGGTAAATCTGTATATTGAAGTGTAAGTCTTAGAACTGGTAAATGGATGGGAAGTATCAGAAAGCTTGCTATTTGCTCTAGTGTGCATTATTTCCCTATATTACTTTCTTGAAATATTCATGATTCTTTTTGTAAAGTGCTCCCCAAAAGAGAAATGCATTTATTTCTGCTTCTCTCATGCAGCCAGGATGAGTTTCAGCCTGAATGGCTATGAACTAGTTTTCTGGTATCCTGATGTTGTTCCAGAAGTTGTGGCTGGCAATTTCCGAGGCTGGAAATTGAGCTGTTTTGTATTGAATTTATTGCCACAGGCAACTGAAGCAGAGATGGCTGGACTCTTGTAACTAATCCCTGATTGGTCCATGTCATGGGAATCTAAGAAATCTGGTTCCTCATGGGTTCTTCATCTAGGTAGGCTTCTGATTGGTCTGTTTTGAAGAAACTTCAAGAGAATTCATCAGTGAAGACTCAAACATCCAGGCCAAAGGCGTCTAAAGGTTGAATCATGGCAAACTGGACCAAACTTTGTTAATCAGAGATCTTTCATCCAAGCAGCTTCATCAGTCAGAGCAAAAAATCAGAAAGAGTCAGAAAGTCATTGAATACCAACTTCAGGGTTTCCCCCCCAAAATGGTTTGCAAGAGAATTCATTTGTCACTGATTGACTGATGCTGCCATCACCACTCTGATATATTCAAGTCAAATTTGTGGAAAGGATGACTAAACAGAAAAAAAAAATCACGCTGTATTAAAAAAGGTCACTTTTTTTAAAAAGAAAAAGCAATATATTTAGAAAGTTGATGGACCACCTGCATGTATATAAAGTTTACTGAAGTTTACTAAAGTTTATTAATTATTTTTTAAGTGATGACCCTCATCAAAATTGGCAAACTATATTATTAGTCATGAAATAATAAGAAAGGACAGAAGTTCAGGGGGAAAAGCTAAAAACATGGGGATGACTCAGAAAATGTGATATTGGAAGGGCAATTACAAATAGCTGCAATAAGGAAAAAATGGAGAAGGAAACAAGAGGGGAACAAGAGGCTAAGTGAGGATCTGATAAGGGAAAAGGGGACATAGAAGAACAGAGAATCACAGATCTCTATTCTTATTCATTATTTTTTTATTCATAGAGCACCAACCTAAAACAAAACAGAAATTTCCTGATAGTTTGAACGATTAATCAATGGAACGATTTGCCTTCAGAAATTCTGGGTGCTCCATCACTGAGGTTTTTAAGAAGAGACAGACGTTTGTCCAGAATGGTCTAAGGCCGTGATGGTGAACCTATGGCACGCGTGCCACAGGTGGCACACGCAGTCATATCGGTGGGCATGCGAGCTCAGCTCCAGCGCATGTGCGTGTGCTGGCCAGCTGGTTTTCGGGGTTTCTGGGCCCACCAGAAGTAGGGAAACAGGCTGTTTCCAGAGGACCTTGAGGGGGGGTGATTTCTCTCTCCCCAGCCTCCAGAGCCTTTCTAGGAGTCTGGGGAGGGCGAAAATGGCCTTCCCCATCTCCCCCGGAGGCCCTCTGGAGGCTGGAAACAGCCCGTTTGCCAACTTCTGGTGGGACCGGAAGGCCCGTTTTTGACTCTCCTCAACCTCCAGAGCCTTTCTAGGAGCCTGCAGAGGGTGAAAACGGCCTTTCCCACCCCCCCAGAGGGCCTACCATGTGGGGGGAGCAGGGGCGGTCACGCACGCAGAGGCAGGGTGCATAGAATTATGCATGTGGACACGCGCGTACGACCCACTCCCCGCTCCTGGCACGCGATGGCAAAAAGGTTAGCCATCACTGGTCTAAGGTGTCCTGCTTGAGCAGGGGGTTGGACTAGAAGACCTCCAAGGCTCCTTCCAACTCTGTTATTCTGTTAAATGACAAAGGGATAGATTGTCAAGGAAGAGTAGACAAAGCTAATAAGGAACTGCGGAGTTCATGTCAGGAAAACTTACGATCAAGAATGAACTGGTGTAGAAGGAAGCAAAAGAAGAAGAAAAGGGTTGTTTTTTTTAAAAAAGAGAAGAATCATTACTATAAGTGCTCAGTGAACAAGGCAGTAAAGAAAAGGCAGAACTATTCAGTTTTTAATTTGGTTCAGTTTAACATTTGCCCTAGGAGGAGGCTGTGAAAAGAGAAAGAAGAAATAGGATTGAATGAATAAAGGGAGAGCCAGGGAATCCCTGATTTGAATTATAGGGAAATTCTGGATTTAAATTCTATTCTGAGGAACCATCGTGGCAAATTCAGAAATACATGACACGGAAGAGGAAAAAAACAACAACATTTATTGCACTGATAGTTGGGCTACCTGCTTTACAAGAAAGAGGAACTCAAAGAATGGGGGGGGGGAAGAGATTTTTTTATAGTTGAGGACCAGAAAGTCCAGTTGCCATTTCGAAAAGCACCTTTGGGACAAGACATATAAGGCCTAAACGGACAACTCTGAGGAGATTAAATTAAATGGAGAGAGTGCTAGGCTGATCATCTTCTAATATCTTCCAGGTTCATGTCAGCCCTTTTGAGGAAGCCCAGCAAGATCAGGAGACAGACTCAAAATTGGATAACCATTTGTCTGATGTGGTGTAGGGTTTCCTGCCTAAGCAGGGGGTTGGACTAGAAGACCTCGAAGGTTCCTTCCAACTCTGTTATTCTATTCTAAGGTGAGAAATCCCAGGGTTTGCTGGCCAGTTTTGGGGAAGCTGAGCAGGTCATTATCAGTATACCTATTGTTAGACAAAGTGGCCCTTTCATAGGACAGAACGGAATTTTCCTCATTCCTTACTCCTCACTCAGTTCAGTCCGAGGGAATTGCAACCTAGAAGAAACCCAGCCGTCCATCCTCAATCAGTTTGATGGCCTCAACATTCCATCTCCTTTAACAACAGTCATAAGAGTGAAAAATGGTCATAAGTGCCATTTTCAGTGCCACTGTAACTTTGAACAGTCACTAAATGAACTAAATAAGTCAAGGACTACCTGTATGCAATATCTTTGGGAAATCCTGACAAATTAATGAAATGTCATAGTAATTTCAAAATGAGATGGGTGGCAAATAAATTTAATAATAAATTTTAAAAAGTATAGGAGAACCAGTGCTTAAAAAGTGGAAAAAGGGAAACCTCTGGCCAGTTTGACAGACATCAATACCTGGCAAATTCTAGAGCAGATCATGAAAAAAGTTGATCTGTAAGTATCTTGATTATAATGCAGTAATTAATAAAAGTCAAGCAAAATTTATCAAGAGCAAAATTTATCTGTCAGATTAACCTCATCTGAATTTTCGACAGGTAACCTCCTTGATAGACTGTGGGAATGCTGCAGTCATAATATATCTTGATTTCCTTAAAGCATTTGAGAACCATAATTCGTTTGGATTAGCAAGCTAGTTAGATGTGGGCTTGAAAACTAACGGTGTACAAGGTGCCTTGAAAATCATACTCATGTATGGTTGGAGAGGTACTGAGATGGGGGATGCCTCAGTAAATGGTTTGAGTCCATAGTTCATCATGAAGTAAAGGGAATAATTAACCAGATCTGCAAAAAATGTAACATGGGGTGGGGTAGCTAGAACTACAATAATGAACCAGTGCCTGGAGTTGTGAGGGCAGGAAAGGACAAAACAAACTTGGATTAAATATAGCGAGGCAAAAGTCCTGTTCTTCCAAAAACACCTGGGCTACAGAAACGTTGGTTCTAGTGATGGAACCAGATGGCCTTACGAGTTCCCTGAATGAGCAAGCGCACTCAATTCACGAGCTTCTACTAGCACAGCTGATGTAATCATAAATCAGGAGTGCAAGTGAGTGAATGTGGCCCTATATGGACCAGGAAACCCAAGTGGTGGTAACCCATATTCATTGCCGTGTGTGGGTCAATTATTGCAGCACATTCTAGGTGGGGCAACATTTGAAGCTGACTCAGAAGCCACAACTGAAACAGAACTCATTGGACTCATTCTTCTTGTTGGTCCAAATTGTAGAAAATAAATGTAATTTTGGGTTAAACAGTTGAGTTCTTGGTCTTCTCTGAGCTTGGCTTAATGGTGAACCAAGCTGCCACTGTTTGTTCTTTCATATGTAATTTTTTGCATGTGTGAAGGAATTTTGTGAATTTAGAATGCAGGACCAGGATGTGTATGTGTTGGTTGATTCAACAAAAATTTTCTTAAAGGTTTATGACCAATCCAAGACCAGATTACAGACACACACAGCTTTCAGAAATCCCAGCCAGCCAAAAATTAAAACATCCATTTTTTTTTATTGATTTGTTCACAGAACATACAGAGTTGAGCCAGTTCATCTGGAATAGTGTTAACATGTAAAGTGCAGTTCACAAAAAGTGAGTTACTAAAGTTTTGGAAATGCTAGTAGTATGGATGCACCAACCCTCGCAAACCACTCCTTGTTACACAGCAAGCAAACACTGTAACAAAAAATGTTCTGGCTAACAAAGCAGGAACCCAAAAAAAAAATCAGATGTTTTTACAATAAATAAAAAGGAGCATCCTTAACTTTTATTGTGCCAGTTATTACGAAGCTAAGAAGTCCTGTCCATCAGCTTCAATAACAATTTTTTTACTTGTCAGTTTTTCTATTTTTTGTCACACAACTTTCCCCCCTTTATTGAAGTATCACAACACTGCAAAATTCCAATCATAATTCAATCTTCACTAAAACCTTGCTCCTTTGCCAAAGTACAAATCATAAAAAGATTCTTGGTTTCTTAAAATCTAGCCGCCTTCCTATCAGAGATTTATGACCCACAAAACCGTAGCGTTAATTCTACCTCGCTAGAGGTACATAAAACATATGAATTCTTTCCAAATGCATAGTGCAGCACAAGAGCAGCAATTTCCCTTCCTACCTCCCAGTTTTACACATAAATAAAAGTCAGTTTAAATTACATAGATATTATTATTATTATTATTAATAAATATTAAATATCCCCTTTCCCCCTCCTTCAATTGCAGCAACGAGGAATGTCCCCTTCCTGTTGCATAATGCCGTGTCAGTTGAGTTTAAGTTTCTATGACGTCAGCCTTGCTTGGCAACCTCCAGGCAGGAAAGCACAAGGCTGAGCTCCAAACCTCCTTGGTCCCTTTCTGCATCTTTTACTTCTGCTTTACAAAGAGACATTTTCTAAAGGCCCACGAGCATGGCAGTCCCTCTGTCTGACTTCCCAGTTTAGACTCTTGTTCTGTTTCTCCCCTCCGGTGAGAGGGGGAGGTCGTTCGATCTTCAGAAAGCAGCTGGATTCTGCTGCAAAAAATGGGTAATGTCAAGAGCAGATTCCGAAGATCTGTCCTCTCCCCAGGACCACTCAGAAACATTGGCCACCGTGGCGATTTCCAAGGAGGATGTTGATACAATGGGTTGCTCTGGGATTACGGGCTGTTCTAAAGGGACAGGCGGGACCTGCAGAGAGCAACCAGATGTGTTGTCTTCCAGTGTGGCTCCAACAAGGAGGAGGTCGTCTTCTGCATTATAGATTTGGAAGAAGACAACGGCGAGGAGGATGAAGAGGAGGGTCTTAGCATAGCTGCGCTCCTCAGTGGGATAGTAACGCTTCACCTGGGAAAGAGAACCAAGAAAAGGGATTAGTAACACAGCGCCCAAGGATAATCTCTGCATTTAGTTCAGTGCCTTTGCAATGAAATGATGTAGGATCTCCTGTTTGGATGTGGGGGGGGGGGGGTTGGACTAGATGACCTACAAGGTCCCTTCCAACTCTGTTATTCTGTTCTGAAATAATGCCCTTTCTCTTGCCATGTACTGGTGTGTAGGGAAGAACCCTCCACTTTCAGGAACGATTCTGATTCTAAAACAGAAAATGCACCATGTCCATGCTGGCTATGGAATTCTGGGGATGGAAGGCCACATATCTTAAAGTTGCCAAATTCAAAAAAATACGGCATTAGAATGATTTATTGCTGCTGTCCCCTGCCTGTATTAATCAGGGATGATGATTATACAGTCCCACAAAGCAGACAATTTGCCTCCAGAAATTGTGAATTCTCCAACCCGGGAAATTTTTAAAGAAGAGATTGGACAACCATTTGTCAGAAATGGTATAAGGTTTCCGGCCCGAGCATGGGGTTGGACTAGAAGACCTCCAAGGTCCCTTCCAACTCTGTTATTCTAGGTTGAGGATAGCTACTCAGAATAGTATTTTTCATCCATGGTGGCTTTTAAGAGATGTGGACTTCAATTCCCAAGCCAGAATTCAGGGACTTGAAGTCCACACCTCTTAAAGCTGCCAAGGTGAGAAACACTGATTTAGGGGACCCCTCCTAAACCTTGCACAATTACTGGGAAATAATCCCTACTGAATACGTTAGGCTGCTCAGATGTGAGCAGCACACCTGAATGTGCAATGTGCTAGAAGCCAGAACGCTTTCCTCACTGTTCCAATCCCCCTCCTTGTCAGCCCAGGCCAAGGAGCAAAACGGGTGGAAACTAACGAAGGAGAGAAGCAACTTAGAACTAAGGAGAAATTTCCTGACAGTGAGAACAATTAATCAGTGGAACAACATGCCTCCAGAAGTTGTGAATGCTCCAACACTGGAAGTTTTTAAAGAAGAGTTTGGACAACCATTTGTCTGAAGTGGTGTAGGGTTTCCTGCCTAAGCAGGGGGTTGGACTAGAAGACCTCCAAGGTCCCTTCCAACTTTACCAACCAGAGGACGTGGGGACTTCAACTCCTAGAGTCCCCCACCCACCCACAGCCAGCGAGCATCTTAAAAGGGGTCAAGACCTGAGCAAGACAAGCCTTGGATGGACCCAGGCTGCAAAATCATCCCCCCCACGACTTACCACTGGAGGGTAGAGGACTTTCCGCGAACGTCTCTTGGACTTGCTGGCCTTGGTGTGGCTCCGATGGGCAGGGCTCTTCTCGTCCTCCGGGAGAGGATCGAAAGTGAAGTATTGGGGCCCGGTAGGCGCGGCCCTGGGGGAGATTTGGGGCATGTTGAGCGGCGGCAAGGTCGGCTTGCAGGCGTAGCACATGGTCGTCCAGCAGAGGAGAAGGCAAAAAGCAGCTGAAAAGCACTCAGACTGAGGAGCCGCTCGGCCGGATCCGAATTTATGAATGGGAGAGGCCACGCCTACCCGCCACCCCATTGGCTAAGCGGCTGTAGCAGCAAAGACAGCTCAAACTGGAAACTCCGAACTTCGACAGTTTTAATTCATGCAGGTGTAGGGATGTCACGCAATAAGCAAGCCCGCGGGGGGAGGAGGGGGAGGGGGGAGGGGAAGGAGATTGGTGCCAGCGAAAGCCGAGAAAGGGCATTGTTTGCAAAACACGCGTGTCCCCCCCCCCGCCCTTTTCTATACAACCGCGCCCACTAAAAAAATAATAATAATAATACACGGGGAATTAGGTTCCCTTTCCCAGCTCCAAGGATTTACCTTGCAATCTTTGCAATCTCTTCTTCCTGCAAAGATCTGAACGCGAGAGAGATGGGTAGGCAGTAAGTAACAGATTTGTAAGGGACCTTGGAGGTCATGTAGTCCAACCCAGGGGGGTGAAATCCAGCAGGTTCTGACAGGTTCTGGAGAACCGGTAGTGGAAATTTTGAGCAGTTCGGAGAACTGGCAAATGCCACCTCTGGCTGGCCCCAGAGTGGGGTGGGAATAGAGATTTTGCAGTATCCTTCCCTCAGGAGTGGGGTGGGAATGGAGGTTTTGCAGTATCCTTCCCTCAGGAGTGGGGTGGGAATGGAGGTTTTGCAATATCCTTCCCTCAGGAGTGGCGTGGGAATGGAGGTTTTGCAGTATCCTTCCCTCAGGAGTGGGGTGGGAATGGAGGTTTTGCAGTATTCTTCCCTCAGGAGTGGGGTGGGAATGGAGGTTTTGCAGTATCCTTCCCTCAGGAGCGGGGTGGGAACGGAGATTTTGCAGTATCCTTCCCTCAGGAGCGGGGTGGGAACGGAGATTTTGCAGTATCCTTCCCTCAGGAGTGGGGTGGGAACGGAGATTTTGCAGTATCCTTCCCTCAGGAGTGGGGTGGGAACGGAGATTTTGCAGTATCCTTCCCTCAGGAGTGGGGTGGGAACGGAGATTTTGCAGTATCCTTCCCTCAGGAGTGGGGTGGGAACGGAGATTTTGCAGTATCCTTCCCTCAGGAGTGGGGTGGGAACGGAGATTTTGCAGTATCCTTCCCTCAGGAGTGGGGTGGGAACGGAGATTTTGCAGTATCCTTCCCTCAGGAGTGGGGTGGGAATGGAGATTTTGCAGTATCCTTCCCTCAGGAGTGGGGTGGGAATGGAGATTTTGCAGTATCCTTCCCCTGCCACACTCACCAAGCCATGCCATGCCCACCAAGCCACGCCCACAGAACCAGTAGTAAAAAAATTTGAATTTCACCACTGATCCAACCCCCTGCTCGCGCAGGAGACCTGTACTAGGGATATTGAACTGCCAAACTGCCGACCTTTCTGATCGACAAGCTCGTTGTCTTAGCCAATGAGCCACCTAGTCATCTTTGAAGCCCGTTGACAGTCTCTCTCCCCCCCAAACACACACATACATTTAATTTTTTTGTGGTGAGCTGCATCCAATGCAATCTTAAACCGCAGCCAGAATGACTTGCCCTTGTGAAGGTGTCCAAGATCTGCTTTTGCTTTTAGCTGCAGCGTAATTACTTTATTTATTTATTTCTCACTTTTATTATTTTTGTAAATAACTCAAGGCGGGGGTGGGGAACATACCTAGATACCTCTTTCTATTTTCCCCAGAACAACTCTGTGAGGTGAGTTGGAGGCTGAGGGAGAGTAACTGGCCTGGTGTCACCCAGCTGGCTTTCATGCCTAAGGCGGGACTAGAATGCTCACATATTTTTTCAGAAAAAAATGGGCCAAAAAAAGCCTAGAAAACAGGCTGAAAAAAGCCTTGAAAACAGGCTGAAAAAAGCCTCGAAAACAGGCTGAAAAAAGCCTCGAAAACAGGCTGAAAAGAGCCTCAAAACGGGCTGAGAAAAGCCTCAAAAACGGGCTGAAAAAAGCCCCCAAAACAGGGTGAAAAAAGGCCTGAAAAAAGCCAAAGAAAGGCCCCAAAACGGGGCGTGCGGAGGCCAAAAAATGGCAAGCAGGTGGGTGGGGCTTCAGCAATATTTGGTCTATAAGACGCATAGACATTTTTACCCCCTTTTGGAAAACAAAAAAGTGTGTCTTATAGTCTGAAAAATATGGTAACCTTGGGAGGTCTGTTGTAACTTTGATTGGTCACTAAGCCCCCCCCCACCATAAGTCGAGGGCTACCTGACTGTCATCTGCAGATGTCCTTTTGTCACCGATGTCCTGTTCTCCTTTGCCTTAACAGAACCCAGAAGCCTCTCTATCTATTTTGGCTGCACAAAGAACATTTGCTAATGAACTGGCACTCTCGTTGTTGATGTCCTTGTTCCCGTTCTGAAGAATATCATTCAGGGATTCTCTCACACGCTCACTGCTGCTCTGCTCTATTTCTAAATGCATTTTAGTTAATAGGTGGGAAGGGCATAATCTATTGTGGAGCAGAACATTCTCTTGCATCGTCCCCTGTTCCACCTCGCTCCTCACCCCTTTTCTCTCCCTCCATCCTTTGTCTTCCAGCTTCTGGGAAGAGAATTTGTTCTTGAAGTTTATTTCAAAGTTAAATGAACTTTTGCACCCATTTACGTGGAATGGAATGGAATGGAATAGAATAGAATAGAATAGAATAGAATAGAATAGAATAGAATGAGTTGGAAGGGACCTTGGAGGTCTTCTAGTCCAACCCCCTGCTTAGGCAGGAAACTCTACACCACTTCAGACAAATAGTTATCCAAGATCTTAAAAACTTCCAGTGTTGGAGCATTCACAACTTCTGGAGGCAAGTTGTCCCGCTGATTAATTGTTCTAACTGTCAGGAAATTTCTCCTTAGTTCTAGGTTGCTTCTCTCCTTGATTAGTTTCCACCCATTGCTTCTTGTTCTACCCTCAGGTGCTTTGAAGAATAGTTTGACTCCCTCTTCTTTGTGGCAGCCCCTGAAATATTGGAAGACTGCTATCATGTCTCCCCTAGTCCTTCTCTTCATTAAACTAGACATACCCAGTTCCTGCAACCGTTCTTCATATGTTTTAGCCTCCAGTCCCCTAATCATCTTTGTTGCTCTTCTCTGCACTCTTTCTAGAGTCTCCACATCTTTTTTACATTGTGGCGACCAAAACTGAATGCAATATCACTCTGCTTTTTCTCTGTACTCACTCTCAGACCCCCCCCTCACAGGCAGTTGCTCCTCCCCCTAGCTCCTGTGAAGTGAAAATATCCTTTAGGACTTGATTGCAAAGGGATCGAAGTTTGTTTGTGGGTAAATATTTGGCTCGCAGGACACGGCTATAGGGCAGGCCAAAACAGCTAGACACAAAGACATTTTTTTCACCCATGCCATCACTCTGCTAAATACCTGATTCCTACAGTGCTGTCTTATACCTAAGGATATTTACCCATCTAGTAGGTAGGGGTGTTAGATCTTTCCTAATTACCTTCTCCTATGGGTATCTTATGATTTACCACTTTATTGTTTGTACGTACTGGTAATCCTCAGTTTATATCCACAATTGAGCCCAAAATTTATGCTGCTAAGTGAGAAATTTGTTAAGTGAGTTTTGCTGCCCCGTTTTATGACTTTTCTTGCCACATTTGTTAAGTGAATCAATGCAGTTGTTAAATTAGTAACACGGTTGCGAAGTGAATCTACTTTCTCCAGTGACTTTGCAAGTCAGAAGTTTGCAAAAGGGGATCACATGACCCCGTCGTAAATGTGAGTCAGCTGTCAAACATACGAATGTAAATCCTGTGACCATGGGGGATGCTGCAACCATCGTAAGTGTGAAAAATTGGTCACAAGTCACTATTTTTAGTGCCATTGTAACTTTGAATGGTCACTGTGAACTGTTGTAAGTCGAGTCCAAGAGCTTATGCACTGGAGACAAATCCCTTTGTGTGTCTAATTGCACTTGGCCAATAAAAAATATTTTATTCTTCTTTTTTTTTTTTTTAAGTTTTATTAACATAAACAAACATAAAACACAAATACATGTAAACACTTATACATTAACAAAGAGTCAATCGACTAAAAATATTTTATTCTTCTATTCTCTTCATTTCTCCAGGGCTATTTTATAACATCAAGACTCTTTGGTTTTTCCAGGATCCCTCTAAATCCCAAAGGAACGATCAGCCTTTCAAGGTTAGGCCAAATCAGGAAACAGATTCTTAATTGTGACTTTATTGTAATAAGGCATAATTACAGGATCTTGAAAGGCAGTCAGATTTTGCTATATCAACAGAATCAAGACGGGCTTAGTCTGAATTTCTTCTTCATATTTTCCATTTTTCTAAGACTTCATCGCAGTTTCACTTCTCTTAATGGTTCTTCCCTTCTAAGATCGTTTTCAAAATTCTTTACAAGAAACTATTTGAACCAATATCTTCCAGTGAACTTTTGCTAGTCTGAGAAAAAGAGCAGACCAATTTTGAGGTATGGTGTGGAAGGATTTCTCGTTTGCCCTGCGAAACTCTGAAAAATAAAATTGACACCCTGTTTCTCTTTCCTTGAATTTAGGAGAGAATTTCAAAAAGTCGTTTGCAGCCAAAGCAACTTCCACTGAATGTGATAACAATGGAAGCAAAAACAAATATAGGGGATACAAAATATTTCAGTTACTCCCACTTAATTAAAATAGAGTTGGCCCTTGGTTAATCTTGAAAAGCTAAGCAGGATTGGATTCAGTTAGTATTTGGATAGGAGACCACAAGGAGAGCTTGTGACTAATGAGAGGAGAAAGAGGAAGGGCATCCTGACTTTGAAGGAGAAAAATCACCCTGTCAGAAAAACATAGGAAGGAGAATCAGGTACAGATATTCCTTGATTTATGACCACAATTGACCCCCAAAATTTCTGTTGCTAATTAAGACAATTGTCAAGTGAGTTTTGCCCCCATTTTACGGCCTTTCTTGCCACAGTTGTTAAGTGAATCACCGCAATTGTTACATGAGTAACATGGTTGTTAAGTGAGTCTGGTTTCCCCACTGACTTCGCTCATCAGAGTAAGTTGAGTAAGTTGAGGACTACCATAAATAAGGATACAAAGGGGAAAACTGCCTATCAATTGCACTGTTTAAGTCTGCCAAAGTTTGGTAACTTTGCTGAAAATAATTATTTTACCAAAAGGACCTTGGGACCGGATATAGGTCAGGGGGCACCCTGTGCTCTTCACCGTTGTTTTTGCGAGATGCGAAATCTCCCTGACACACTTGCTCCAAAGGCTTGCAACCCCATTGTAAACATCCTGCCTGGAATACACCCCCATAATTACCTTCCACTCACTAGTGATCTGCGAATCTTGAAGCAGATAAACAGTCCATGCAATCTCCCAAACAGATGGGCTAAATACAGATGTGGACACTTTAATTATTCCATTTCCAAACAAAACAGAGGGGGGGGAATGTGATCCTTCAAGCCAAGGTTACATTATACAATTGCCGTGACTCACAAATGGGATTTTACCGAGCATTCCAAAAACCGCATTTATCTTCTCATATCTTTCCATCATTTAAAAAATCTATCCCGGCCCCATCGCCACAAAAACATTGGTCACAAAAGCTAACAGGGGCATAGTTGTGCAATGTCTTTTGACTAATGGCCCTAAGAGCCATCTGCCTGGAAATTTCCTAAATCACTTTATGAATAAAACAGAGCTACCAAATTGGAAAGATTCTGCAGCCTGTTTGTTAATTCGTTGTTTTCATTTGTGGTCTTGCGTTCTGGTCTGTGTCTAGAAGCTTTGGGGCAGGCAGAGCCGAATGCAAGCAAATGTAGGATCCTGCAAAATTGCATAAAATAAGGAAGGGAAAAAAAAACAAATTTCGAGACCATGCAATGGCAAATAACAGAATAACGGAGTTAGAAGGGATCTTGGAGGTCTTCTATCTAGTCCAACCCCCTGCTTAGGCAGGAACCTCTATACCACTTCAGACAAATGGTTATCCATCATCTTCTTAAAAACTTCCAGTGTTGGAGCATTCACAACTTCTGGAGGCAAGTTGTTCCACTGATTAATTGTTCTCACTGTCAGGAAATTTCTCCTTAGTTCTAAGTTGCTTCTCTCCTTGATTAGTTTCCACCCATTGCTTCTTGTCCTGCCCTCAGGTGCTTTGGAGAATAGCTTGACTCTCTCTTCTTTGTGGCAGCCTCTGAGATATTGGAACACTGCTATTATCTCTCCCCTAGTCCTTCTCTTCATACCAGTTCCTGCAACTGTTCTTCATGTGTTTTAGCCTCCAGTCCCCTAATCACCTTTGTAGCTCTTCTCTGCACTTTCTAGAGTCTCCACATCTTTTTTACATTGTGGCGACCGAAACTGGATGCAGTATTCCAAGTGTGGCCTTATAATGTAGTCAAACATTGATGTTACAAACATCGTTAACAATTTACAATTGTTATAATTACAATTAACAATGTTACAGTCAGTGGTGGGTTTCAAAATTTTTTACTACCGGTTCTGTGGGTGTGGTTTGGTGGGCGTGGCATGGCATGGCATGGCATGGCTTGGTGGGCGTGGCAGGGAAAGGATACTGTAAAATCTCCATTCCCACCCCACTCCAAGGGAAGGATATTGTAAAATCTCCATTCCCTCCCCACTCCAGGTGAAGGATACTGCGAAATCCCCATTTCCTCCCGATCAGCTGGGACTCGGGAGGCAGAGAATAGATGGGGATAGGACCAGTCAGAGGTGGTATTTACCAATTCTCCGAACTACTCAAAATTTCCACTACCGGTTCTCCAGAACTGGTCAGAACCTGCTGAAACCCACCTCTGGTTACAATTGATTTTAGACTACATTGTGGTCAAACGTTGATGGTCAGGAAGGATTACAGATTTTTTTTTTCTTCTCAGAGTCAGTATTGAAGGAAACCAGCATCTGTCTTAAAAAAGAAAGAGCAAAATGCCCCCAACATGAATTTTTAACCAGCTTAGAAATCATATGATTCCATAGGAATTTGAATGGAGAGGGGGAGGGGGGAAATATCAGTTTCCCAATAAGAATAAGATTTTGAATGTTTGGCTTCTCTGTATAACATTTCAAGGATTCTAAGTTTGGGGAGATCGTTTTAAGCTGATGCAGAATCTGCCACTTCACACTTACCCAAAAATTGAGACAGGATATGAGCAGTTCACATTCCTATCCTAAATGATCTTTTTTAGGTAGAAGAGAGGAACTCAGTCATGAGAAACTGGCCATTATTTTGCAGAGTTGTAGAAAAAGTTTGTGAGAAAAGAAAAACTTTTTGGAGCGATTAGGGTTATTGCTGGTGCTTAGCAGGAAGATAAATTGGGAAAAATTTTTTGCAGCCTCGTAGTTTGCCAAGAGAGTGGGAACGAAGTACAGGTAGTCCTCGATTTATGACCACAATTGAACCCAATATTTCTGTTGCTAAGCAAGACAGTTGTTGAGTAAATGTTGTCCAGTGGTGAAATGCAAAATTTTTTGCTACCGGTTCTGTGGGTATGGCTTGATGGGCGTGGCTTGGTGGGTGTGGGTCATATGACTGGGTGGGCATGGTCAACTTTTTTTTTTCTTTTTAAAGCATTTTTTACTACCTATTTGCCCAAACTGGTAGTAAAAAAATGCTTTAAAAAAGTAAAAAAAAAGTTTCCGATGATCACAGAACCTTTTTTAAAAACTTTTTTAAAGCATTTTTTTACTACTGGTTCGGGCGAATAGGTGGTAAAAAAAATGCTTTAAAAAAGTAAAACAAAGGTTCCGACGATAGTGCGGCACACAGTTTTTATCACCCGAACTGGTAGCATTTCACCCCTGGTGTTGCCCCATTTTTCTATCTTTCTTGCCACCATTGTTAAGTGAATCACTGCAATTGTTAAGTTAGAAACACGGTTGTTAAATGAATTTGGCTTCCCCATGAACTTTGCTTGTCTGATCTGATTGGTCTGGGACACTGCAACCGTCATAAATATGAACCAGCTGCCAAGCATCTTAATTTTGATCATGTGACCAGGGGGATGCTGCAACGGTCGTAAGTGTGAAAAATGGTCATAAGTCACTTTTTTTCACTACTGTTGTAATTTCGAACAGTTACTAAATGAATGTTTGCAAGCCAAGGACTACCTATATTAATGAGAAGGAAATATTAATTTGACTAACATAGGAAATATATATGTTTTTCTCTTGGAGTTCAACAACGGAAAGCAAAACAGAATCGCAGGGCTGAGAGTCACGTACGCTTTCTAAATTTACGAGGTTCAATTCAACAGAAGCCACCACAATTCTAGATGTCTTTGCATTGCAAAAACACAATCTGCCACCAGCTATTTTGGTGCCACTATTTCCTGGAATGAAAAGCAGAAGTTCCCAGTCCAGCCACCCCCAGGGATTCCGTAAAGAAGGATTAAATGCTAGAAGTTGTAAGCTTAGTTGCCTAGTAAACATTTTGACAATGATGTGAAAATGATTTTAAAAGGGCACCGATGACCTTTGAAAAGCAGATATGATACATCTGGTCAAGTTCAAATGAAAATCATGGAAATTTCAAGAGAAATTCTAAGATTTGTCGAGGACAATAAAGCACCTCTAAAATAACGGAGATGTCAAGTGGAATTAGCTAACTCTTAATTATGATGTGCTTCCAGACGCTTCTCATGGGCCACAGGATTTGATTTATGGAGGTTTTGGATGTCTGGCTGGCCCCAGAATGTTTGGGAATGGAGATTTTGCAATATCCTTCCCCTGGAGTGGGGAGGGAATGGGGATTTTGCAGTATCCTTCCCCTGCCACGCCCACCAAGCACGCCACGCCCACCACGTCATACCACGCTCACCAAGCCACGCCCGCAGAACTGGTAGTAAAAAAAATTAGATTTCACTATTGGGGTCAACCTATTCTCCAAGGCAGGACAAGCAGCAATGATGGAAACTAACCAAGGAGAGACCCAATTTAGAAATAAGGAAAAATTTCCAGATAGTGAGAACAATAAACCAGTGGAACAACTTGCCTCCAGAAGTTATGGGTGCTCCAACATTGGAGGTTTTCAAGAAGAGATTGGACGACCATTGGTCTGACTCTGAAATGATTATAGAGTTTTCTGCTTGAGCAGGGGGTTGGACTAGAAACCTTCCAAGTTTGTTATTCTGTTATTTGCCATTGCATGGTCTTGAAATTTGTTTTTTCCGCCTCTTTCCTTATTTTATGCAATAACGCAATTGAGTACTACGTTGAAGTTGTGAAACATCAGTGTCTAAAGTGCTTTTTTTTTAAGGGGGGTGGGAAACTACTTTGCAGATTTCTTTAAAGATGAGTACCGGTTGTTAGTGCTTACTGAAAAGTTTGATTCATATATTGCATCAAGTTCTAAGTAGATTGTTTGTGTTCTGCTTAACATGTTGTGCAAACTCATCGATTGCGGTTTCTAAGCCATGAGCACTTCTGCACCGGATTGTCTCCACTTCCGAATCCTCTCCAAATTAGTTTAAAACTCTCTCCAGAAAGGGAAGACCATGAG